ATGTTCTCATTTGCATTTAGAGTAACGGTCGGTGCTACTGGTCCTTCAGCTTGAGGTGATACAGTAGCAGATCCGTGTTGTGTCTTGTTTTCTGTAAAACGTGTTTGACTAGAGGGCTGTAAGTCAAGTGAGTGCACAGCTTTAATACCTTTTATACCTTGTTCTTTAGGCATGCCTTTGTGTGTTGTTTCCTTTAGGAAATGAATGTAGTTTAAAACCAATTTTTTTTTAAATCAAATATAGAACTTTTTGAGGCAACCCACACACATTTCTATCAACCCTGTTAGCCCTGCAGATAATTAAACTCAGATAATGAAAACCTTTTGTGACTCATGTAGTGCCTGCTTACCACTACACAGCCTGAACACAATGACATTCTGCTCAATTACTGTGGAGGATTAGATATTTTGTATCACACAGTGTGCTTGTAGTTGTGTATGTGTATTAGCACTTATTTACATTAGTGTGGGAGTCATTAGCCTTGGATCGACCGGGGTGCTTCTGCCTGTTTAATCAAAATCTATTATTCAGGGTGCTTTTTAGAAGTTTTGTCACGCTGCAGCATCCACCTCCACTCAATGATTTTTCAGACCTACACAGCTATAAACACAGACAAAACCCACCCAACACCTCTTGTGACTCACAGAACTAGGGCACACTTGGAAACAGATGCAAATTCTTTCCTATAGTTGGTATTAATCAAGCCCAGGGATTAAAGAAAGCCTACTGATCACAAAGCATTGCTGCTCTGAGATCCAAAACAGGAAAACAATTCACAGTGAACAACCAGATGACCTTGCAGCTTCTCTCTCAAAAATAATTCTCTTTTGGCTTCTTTAGATCAGTGCCATTTCCTGTTAGTTATTTCACAGGAATTTACAAGTCACCACAAACATTTTCATTTGGAGCTGTGCATGCTGATCTCCTGTGATCATGAATGTAGGGTGGGCTGACAAATATCACTGTGAATAGCTGTAGCCTACTGAGTAGTTACCATTTCCTTTTTCTTCAGATCACATGTAACCTTATTAACTAAGCCAATATGACTAATACTGGTAATCGGACAATGTGTAGTTTTTTTTTCTTGTTTTGTTTTGGTAAGGATAGGTCAGATCGCTTGTGCATTTCTTACAAAAGGCCATGCGCATGAGTCAAAACCAAATGCTGTTGATTTTAAAGCCCTTTGAGACAAAATGATTTGTGATATTGGGCATTATAAAAAAATATTACTTTAGATTTGAGAATGATAGTATGAGCATATGATAACTAGGCTACAGAGTCTGGCATATAATTGCAAATGTGTAAATTTAAAGGTTCAAAATTCATACACCTGACTAGGTGATCTGTATTCTTAAATTCTTTTATTTGTTTAGCCTCTCCCAGAAATGTAAATACTGTGCAGAGTACAATTCAGTTTGAATGATCTGTTGGGACAACAGATCAAGCACAGGCTACAGATTTACAGTTGCAGTCATATGATAGTAACACATGTAGGAGCTGAGTGCCTACAATTAATTAAGGGAATTACCTAGACAGATAGCCTACTAGATTTCTTAGGCTACATAAATGTGGTTTATAGCATATTATTTTGAAAGATTTTTTTGTCTCAGTGTTTGATAAACACATCAAATAGAAATATTTATGTCGTCAGTGTCATCTTATTGGTCTCACTGAGAGGAAACAAATCTATTTGTTAACAAAAGACCTATGGTATTTTATATACTTTATTTATAAAGCGGAACCATTGTGTTTCGGGTTGTACCATAGCACGGTACGGACACTTTGAATGTTACACACTATGATCCTTGAGTTTGGGTCCGTCCAATCAGAAGGTTTGGCTCTATTACGTAGTTCCGTACATGTGACGAGGTGTCATGGAAGCCCGCACGGAGATATCCTGAACTGTAGATGCACCCAGATAAATTTCTTATTTAGTCTTCGTGCTCTTTAGATATGAAGTGTATTCTTCGGCTAGGGTGCTCGTTTACCCGCCTTCATGTCCGCTCGTGTCATCAGAGTGTTTACAGCAGCCATATAAATCCACGAGGGGTGGGAGTGGACCTTAGGGAAAAGTGAGTTGACTTTCTAAGGTGTCATTCTTCATTTCCAGTAACGGTGATGAGAACAAGGCTGAGTTTAACTTACTAGCTTCTGTATCCAAAATCAAATTGTATTCGTTGCTTCGGTATCACATTGTGCCATCTGCTCATAACCAGAGTAAAGAGAGCAGACAACAGCGATGTTTTGGCATTCAGGACACAGAACACACATGCACTTGTATGTTAAAATGAGCCCAACGTCAAGTAATACATTTCTGCCTTTTATTATAACTCTATGATGTACCTAATAGCCCCCTTCCTCAAACAGTCAGCCAAGAGTCTTTCTGTTCTTCATTTATGACTTTTCAGCCACTCTCCTAAAGACCAGCTCCTGTTTTTAGATATTTCTTAGCTGTCTTGCACACACAGCATGTTTAACATCTACCCACAGATTTACCAGGTCCCTCCAAAAGCCACAGCTGGTTTCTTGAAGTTAATGGTGGATTTTATGGTTTGGAATATTGCCCTGTAACAGAAGGCAGCCATGTTTCAGTTTCATTTTCTTGACTGAGATTAACTTCTTGGGTTATTAAATACTGGTTTAGAAGGATGCCCAAAGTGTTGTGCATGCCACAAATTACTATTGTTAAAAAAAAGAGTAAAATTCATAAAATAAAAATGAACAGTTTATTAAAATTTGAAAGAAGAAAGACTCATTTTAATGTTTATGTGATTTACCCAATGGCTGCCAAACATTTGCAAACAACTGTTGCATATAGTTATGACTGTGCTTTAGTATCTCAGATAAATTACCGTGTTGTTTTCTTGTTTTTGTAGGAGACTTGAGATCTCTTCGGGGAGGTTTGCCAGATTTGCTGATGGATCTGCTGTAGTACAGGTAAAGAAATACATTACACTAGAGAAATTACTATTGACTTACTATTCATGGTATTTTGGTTAAACACAAATTTACTTAGAAATATGCACCATGCACATTTTGAGCTCCTCTATCAACAGGTAGACAAGACAGACAACAATGCAGAACCCACTCTGAGGCTCTTGTTTGAATTCATATTGTGCTTTAAGGGTGTCAAATAAATACAATCCATTTGAGACTTCTTATGGGGAAAATGGGCCTTTGGCAGTTAGTCCATTTTGCACATCTTGTAATCCATCCCTAGTGTAATGGGCTTTTTCTTTATGAAAACAAATAAAGTGTGCCGTAGAGCTAAAGTTGGCAGTCCTAGATGTTCAGTGCTATGCTATATATATATTTTTGGTGACCTGTCAATCTCTTTCTCTGTCTAAAGCTAGGGGATACGTCTGTGATGGTGACTGCTGTGAGCAAAACCAAACCTTCTCCATCTCAGTTCATGCCTCTTGTGGTATGTTCCCCATGTAACATTACCAGTGATTGTGTAGAGTTTATAGAGCTCATTCGGAGGAGTTGCTCTCTATTCATGCTATCCAGCCTGACACCAGTGATTTGTAGCTCAGTCTGTCTGGGCTAGAAAATAAACTGATGCTCTTGTGGATAAGGTTATCAAAAAGGCTTTGTGCCTTGACTGACAGGTGGACTACAGACAGAAAGCTGCTGCTGCAGGTCGAATCCCCACCAACTACTTGAGGCGAGAGCTGGGCACCACTGACAATGAGATCCTCACTAGCAGACTCATAGGTGAGTTGACAAGAATGTGTTTTGTTATTTGTGTAGCTTTGGTGTAGCAGGTTAGTGTATTGGTGTTGTACTGTGAAGGCCTTTAACTTGAGTATGTTTCTATTCCTCAGACAGGTCGATTCGACCGCTTTTCCCTCCTGGCTACTTTTATGACACTCAGGTTAGTTCAGTGTGAATGTTTTTTCACCCTTATGTGGTAGTAATTTTGTCCTCTTTGGATTTTTAATCAAAATGATATACATCTGTATTTGTGTCCAGCCTTTGTGTGTGCACATGTATGTTCATGCCTCCTGCAGATCCTGTGTAACCTGCTAGCAGTTGATGGTGTCAATGATCCAGATGTGCTGGCTATTAATGCAGGTGAGTGAAATCTCAGACATCCATGTTTTCTACAGGACATAGTTTCGATTTAGCTAAAACAGTATTTTCTTTCATTAAAGCTTCTGCGGCTCTGGCCCTGTCTGACATTCCCTGGAACGGACCCATAGGTGAGGAACACACAACAGATTTTGCCTTATGTCCATGTTTTTATTTATTGACCTTAAATCCTGGTTTTCATTTGTCAGTTCAACTTCAGTTCTTGTGATATTATCATACACTTGTTTAAACTTAGCTCAGGACCACTTGTGTGTTTGTGTTTTTGCAGGTGCCGTGCGTGTGGGCATGGTAGATGGAGAGCTGGTGATCAATCCCACCAGGGTAGAGATGACTTCCAGCAGCCTGATTGTGGCTGGAGCTCCCAGCAGTCAAGTGGGTAAGCTGACAAATACAATAAAACTCCCAGCAGGAGCTCAAGTGTTTATTTACTGCAAAAAAGGTACACATAAACAACCTTAATGGGAATCACACTGTCCACACAAAATGATATAAATGTATAGATTGTGTGGGTTGATCAGCTGTCGCTCTCAAACACAGTATAAATTACTCACTTGTAGATGTGATCACCACAGATATTCTCAGCATCGGTGATTTTAAGATCAGTATCACAGGCTAGTAATTGGCTTTGCTTCACTCTGTCTGATGATAGCATAATACAACACTTGTCTATCATGTGACTCTGTCAGTGATGATTGAGGCGTCAGCTGAGAACATGCTGCAGCAGGACTTCTGTCATGCAGTGAAGGTGGGAGTCAAACACACCCAACAGATCATACAGGCCATCCAGCAGCTGGTACGGGAGCAGAAGGTCACCAAGCGCACGCCAGTCAAGGTGTTCTCAGCCCCGACTGACGTGGTGGAACATGTTCGGCAGTAAGACCAATAATGAAGCTGTTCATAGTTTCAGAGTGATGAAGGTGCAGGAGTGGTGCATATAAAATACAAGTGTAAAACATGAAGTTTATCCAGAATAAAACAAACTAAGGGATTTTTTTTTCTTTAATCAAGTTGTAAATTAGATAAAGGCAGACCTTATTCACTAATAGATTTACTTTAGTATTTGGGAACTTGAAGACAGGTTTTGTATTAATTTTGTTATAGATGTTAGTAACAACTTGTTTTTCATTTTCTCCCTTGCAGATTAGCTTCTGAGAGGATCTATTCTGTTTTCACTGAGTATTCTCACGATAAGGTAAAATGTGACCTCTCGTCCTCATATGTCAGTCATGTCCTGGTGTTACAGTAGCTTTCTCTTGACACCTCATGGCGCTGTTTAGAACCAATCTTAGTAACTGTTCAGTTTCATGTTGTAGGATACTAAAATAGCCAGAATGACTGAATCACTATTTTGTCTTCTCTGTGATATAGAGATGTATATGCATTTCAGAAGATTACCGTATCACTTGATCAATAACTGTAGTAATGTTATCATAATCTTGTTTTAGATTTCAAGAGATGAAGCGATCAACAAAATTCGACTAGAGACAGAAGAGGACCTTAAAGGTGAATTATATTTTATATTGCATAGAAAAAAATTCAGTTAGCTGTTTCAAATGTTGTTACAACCTACTTTACGCATCATGTTTTTAAATTACTACATTTAAATTCCATTTCTCCATGTGTAGAAAAATTCCCTCAGGCTGAGCCCTTTGAATTAATTGAATCCTTCAACACTGTGAGCAAAGACATCTTCCGCAACTTAGTGCTTAATGAGTACAGGAGGTAAGCACTGTCTATGGTGAAATGAATTTATATTGTCATGAGAAATACCTTTGTAAATTAAACATATTTAGTGTATAATACATATGCTTTTGTCTGTGTGTGTTTAGGTGTGATGGGAGGGAGCTGGATGCTTTAAGGAAGATTTCTTGTGAGGTAGACCTCTTTAAGCCACTCCATGGCTCAGCTCTGTTTCAGAGAGGACAGACACAGGTATGTGAAGAACTTGTAGACCATAAAAATCTGACTTTTTAATTTGAAAAATACATTTTGTAAAAGAAGAATGCTACTGTGGACAGGTTTTATTTAATGTATTGAAGATATTTGCTGCAACTTTCTACAATTTTGAAAGATAAAATATTGCAGTTTTGACCATGAATATCATGAGGAGGGAGAACAGTCGAGATATGTGTGTTTTGCAGTCTTCGATTACAGAAAGCTCATTCACCTCTGTTTCCTTTAGGTGCTGTGCAGTGTCACATTTGACTCACTGGAATCCAGTATCAAAACAGATATTATCACCACTGCTTTGAGGTAGAATTAAATTAGAATTAGAATTTTCACACCTGAAACCACACTCATACTGTTTACATTATCAGCAGGTAGCACTGGCATTTCTCAGGACCATTACCCCACCTTTTGGCACTTTCCCACCATATTTGAATGCCATTGCACTCTGTTTTAATCCCAGCCCAAATTATCCACACCCATTAAGACAATTTAACCAGGTACTCTACTCATTTTCTCTCTGCAGTGGCATTAAAGATAAAAACTTCATGCTTCATTACGAAGTAAGTAGAATCCTGTTTCCATTTTTCAACTTACATACATTATTAAATCTATGATTCTCTGTCCCTTTGAGGTGAACTTAAACTCATGCTGTCTTTAAATTCAGTTCCCTCCGTACGCAACTAATGAGACTGGAAAGATGGGAGGCCTCAACAGGAGGGAGCTGGGTCATGGTTTGTATTAAAATTGACATCATCTTTAGCTAACTGCTGCTTCATCAAGAGCCACATGGACAAAGATTCTTTGCATGTGGATGTCTTTGTTCACATTTACTGTATGTGTATTCCCAGGGGCCCTGGCTGAGAAGGCGCTGAGACCAGTCATTCCTAAAGACTTCCCTTTAACTATCAGGGTCACTGCTGAGGTCCTGGAGTCCAACGGTAAGTGTGCACACAGTTGTGTTAAAGAGTTTTTACAGGCACCACAGGAAATTAGACCATTGGCTGGCAGGTTGTCTCAGACAGGAACATGTTTCAGTGAAAATCTATTACTCTTTTTTGTCTCCTGCTCTCAGGATCCTCCTCAATGGCTTCAGCATGTGGAGGAAGCCTTGCTCTAATGGACGCAGGTACCAGAGAGGGAACGCGTGAGCTTGTATTGTTGATAACATCTGTAATAAAATGGTTCAGATTTATTATTTTTAGTCAACTTTAACACTACAGCTACAATTTGATTTAATAGTAAAACAGCCAGTTCTGTGTAGCATTTCTAAAAATGAACATTAGATGGAAAAAGTCAATAATTATATGTACCTCAGTTAAACATTAAAAAAAATAGAAAGGCTTTTTTGAGTTTGTTGTTCAAAGCAACTAGACACTGTGGTTTAAAGGTGGATAGATGGAGTTAAGATTTTGCCTAAGCATTTTTCTATTTACATTTAGTAACGTGCATTAAGATGTAGCTAATATGTCCAAATCTGTGTATCCTAGGTGTGCCCATCTCTTCTGCTGTGGCAGGTGTAGCAGTTGGCCTCATTTCTAAGTCCAACCCAGAGAAACCTGCTGAGATTCAAGACTACAGATTACTAACTGATATCCTGGTACATACAGTGCAACTGTACAAAGAGTGTCGTTGAGCAATACAAATCCTCCTAAAGTTATAACTGATGTTCCTGCTTAATTAAATTGGACATGTTGGGTATGAGCTAATTAGTCTTTTCTGAACAGGGAATAGAGGATTATCTTGGAGACATGGACTTCAAATTGGCAGGAACAAACAAGGGCATCACTGCTTTACAGGTAGGTACTCTGTCCTGTCATTCGTAACACATGTCTACAGTAAGCTTTTTGACTCTGTGGCTGAAAAGGGCAAGAAAACCAAATAAACATATTTGACCTGGTCCATTTTTAGTGATGTGTAAATATGATTTGGAGAGCAGACCAAAGCATACTTGGAGCTTTAATTTAAGATTTATTTGTTGTAAATACACCAAGTTTATTTATTATGAGACAGTCACACTGTGTTGAGTCTTTATTACTTCCCGCCAGACAGGATCATAATAGGAATACAAAACATTGCATAGTGGCCACTGGTGATAAGGAAAAGGCCACACCCCTGACATGTGGTTGTCCTTCATGCTCTCTCTGCCAAAGATGATTTTTAATGGCTGCTGGCACTTGACAAGTGCTCACTTGGCACCCTGCCCAAACATTACATCACCACCATCACAGCTGTCTTCTCAATGCTAAGTCCATGTTTTCTTTTCCTTTATTTAACCTGTAGGCTGATGTGAAGATACCAGGTTTGCCTCTGAAGGTTGTAATGGAGGCTATCCAACAGGCCACAGGTAATTGATACCAAATGGCAGTGAAACACAACATGTACTAAAGATTAAAGTGTGTTTCTGGTGGTTTCGTGACCTATATTACATATATTATGTTTCAGTGGCAAAGAGGGAAATCTTGGGCATCATGAACAAATGTATAGCAAAACCCAGAGAGGCTAGGAAAGAGAATGGACCTGTTGTTGGTAGGTTTTGTGTTTGAATATACAGTATGTAAATGTGGCCATGTACGTTTTAAAGGAGGAGGGACGTGCTTGGCCTGCTATTCACTTCTGATGTGCATGAGTTTTATTGTTTTCAGAAAATGTCCGGGTGCCCGTCTCTAAACGAGCTCGCTTTGTTGGTCCAGGGGGCTATAACCTTCGCAGGCTACAAGCTGAAACAGGTAACATTCCTGTCACCTAAAATCCTAATTTTGCTTGCTCAGAAAATCAGCCAGGACTGTGATGTCTTTGTTAATGAGATGTGGCACCAAGCAACAATCATATCTTAGTTTTGTCTGCTACACAATATAAACTGTTGTGTAAAATGTAGAAACTTCACTATGTTTTTTTTTTCTTCTTAAGGCGTGACAATAAGTCAGGTGGATGAGGAGACTTTCTCTGTGTTTGCTCCGACACCAGGAGCCATGAATGAAGCACAAGACTTCATCACTGAGATCTGCAAAGATGATGTGAGTTTCTGCTACTCGTATAAGCCTCTGGAAAGCTGCATCAACAGCTACTGCATACTCTTAACGCATAACAAAAAGGGTGTTTGGCCACAACATGTCCTGTTGAAAGAGACTGACATTAAACAGCACAGGACAGACAGAGACCTGAAGATGTGCATATTTGTGAGTGTGTTTTGACTCATGCATTTATGCACAATTGTAAATTTGTGATGTAACTTTTTGTTTTGTTTTGCAGCAAGAACAGCAACTGGAGTTTGGTGCTGTCTACACAGCCACCATCACTGAAATAAGGTAAACTAAAACATTGTGTTTACTGTAAAACTGTCTTTTATGCCAGTCCATCATTACTTCATTTAAACATGCAATTTAGGAGAATTTTATGCATGTTCTCAATAGTAAAGACTGTTAAGCTGGGAAATTAAACTGTGGCTAAATCACACCATCAATGTTCAGACAACTCCTAAGGGCTTTTCCTCCTCTGCTTCAGGGACATTGGTGTGATGGTGAAACTTTATCCCAACATGAGCGCTGTCCTGCTGCACAACTCACAGCTGGACCATAAACGGGTTAGTAAATTTGCCTACTTTGAGTGTTTGAGAATGAATTCACTATGTAATGGTCATTGCTTTATATTTTCCTCCTTTAGATCAAACATCCAAGTGCTTTGGGTTTAGAGGTGGGACAGCAGATACAGGTATGTGTCAACAACAACAGACTGCAGCGTCTGTATTGTTCTGTGTTTACGTTCTGGGCTGGCTGTCTCTAACTGGATTTCTGCTAACAGGTCAAGTACTTTGGAAGAGACCCAACAGACGGCAGGATGAGACTTTCACGGAAAGTGCTCCAATCCCCTGCTGCAACAGCCGTCAAAACACTAAGTGAGAAACAGAGCATCTCCATGGCTTCAAACAGCAGCCACGCGACTGGCACTGATTTGTGACTCACCAATACAACAGGATATCTTTGGGCTTTTCCACCAAACTGAATTTAAACTGAGCAGATTTTGCCAGTGAGCAGTCCTGTTCAGGGACATTGTAGCTTTGAACATGACTGAACTGCACTTGAACTACAGCTCTTCAAATACGGTGTTCTGCTGACGTTGTGCGTCTGTGGATGTGCACAGCCTCAAAACACTTCAGTAACTGTGTGCAAGACACAGAATTTCATAAGTTATAAATGTGTTGTATTCTTATGTATGCCCTGTTAAAATGTCTCGTATTCAGATTTGTCACCTCAGCTAGATTTTCTTTCAGTTTCTCTGTACCACAGCAAACATAATTAGAGAAATATGCAATAAAGTATGACAATAGATGTTTAGGAATCAATAATAATAATGATAATAAAGGATTCAGACCCTTAATGCAGTAATTTATAGAAGTCCCTTTGGCAGAAATTATAGCTTCACGTTTTCTTGGGGCAGTTTATCCCAGTCTTCTTGTCAGAGCAGATGGGAAGCCTTTATGAAGTGCTGTCTTGAGGTCTCTCCACGGACATTCTGTGGGTTTTAAATCTGGCTGGGCCACTCAAGGAGATCCAGTCAGACAATGGGTACATTCCAAGTCTCTTGATTATTCCTACGCCCTCGGTCCTTCGCTGTGTGCTTATGTTAATGTCATACTGAGAGATGAACTGATATGCACACTGGACTGAGTTTTCTTCAAGGACCTCTTTTGATACACTGGTTAAAAAAAATAAATAAATAAAATCTAAAAGCATTTTTTAATTTTGTCATTATGGATTGTTGATTGAACTACCCTTTTAAAATTAAATTTACAACTCTAACATTTGTAAAAACTAAAGAGTCTGACTACTTTCTGAAGTTGCTTTAGTAATATGACAAATATAGTAGTAAATTATATAACTAGTAATGAGCAGCAACGAGGTTGATGATGCCATTATCGAGCCCTATCTCACCTGGAGTCCCCCGGAAGCATGGTGAGGGTCATGTTCTTTGACTTCTCCAGTGCTTTCAACACAATCCAGCCATCACTGCTGAGTGGGAAGTTGGAGGGGGCAGGTGTGGACCAACACCTGTCTGCATGGACCCTTAACTGCCTCACAAACAGACCTCAGTTTGTCAGGGTGTGTGTCGGACATGGTGGTCTGCAGCACGGGGGCGCCCCAGGGGACGGTGCTTTCCACCTTTCTGTTCATCCTCTACACGTCGACTTCAAGTAAAACTCCCACCACTGTCACTTACAAAAGTTCTGTGATGACATCGCCATTGTTGGATGTGTATCTGGGGGGACGAGCGGGAATACAGGGGGGTTGTTACTGACTTTGTGAAGTGGTGTCAGGAAAACTGGTCGACTGGTCCTGAACACCAGTAAGACTA